TTCAGGCAAAATTCAGGCTTTTAAGCACTGCCTCCATGTGACTGATACTCACATCACATGGCTATCGTTGACACCTAATTAACACCTATTGTTAGGTGTTACCCCTGTCTCCACCAACTTTACACACTTTCAAATGTCTGCTTATCTTTTTGCTAAAAATCACCCCCGTTAACAATAGGTGTTAATTAGGTGTCAACGATAGCCAGGTGATACATACTAAAAAACATACTAAAAACATACTAAGTAAAATTTTCTTACTCCATTGGCAGACATTTTTGACTTAAATTGAGTCAAATTTTCAGACTAACAAGACAAATATTCTTACACAATCAGTTCTTGTTTAGTAAATCAGTCTGAAAACAAGATCAAAAAGACTTTTTGGCTGATATAAGATTTTAAAACTTAGTTAGGTGGACAGTTTTTGCAGTGTAAAATAATTACTCCAGTGAAGTAGGGATAGCCAAAATGTCTACTTAAGAAAAGTATTTGTACTTTATTACTTTACACTTTTCATTCTATCTTCTGGATTTTAGTTTGAGAGATCAGTTTGAGGGGGTCTACGCTGCTTCATATTGCTCTCTTACAGTTTGTTGTCGTCACGTCTGTCTCCTGCAGGATGCTGCTCCACAGTTTGACCTTAGCCGTCCTCCTCCTGATCTCATCAAGTGCCCAGAGAACTGTAAAGTCCTGCGTCTTCTCAAAGACCAAGCCTGCCGGGCTGCGGGTAAACTGCAGCTCCTCAGACCTCATGCAGCTGCCTGATCTGCCCTCAGAGACCACAGAACTCCACGTTCAGAACAACCGGCTCACCTCAGTGCCTCCGGGCCGCTTCGACAGACTGCTGAGCCTGAAAAGGGTCTCTCTGTCTCCAAACCCCTTCCACTGTGACTGTGGCATCCAGTACCTGAGGAGCTGGGTGCTGAGGAACAGGGCTGTGCTTTCTGAGGAGCCTCTCTGTTCTGGTCCAGGGTCCCTGGCTCAGAAAGCCATCTCAGAGCTCACAGAGGACCACTTCTCCTCCTGCACGTTCCCTCTGGTGGTCCGCCTGATGGCCTCCAGCTGTGCTCACGTGCTTTATAACACCATGACCACAGGGATGCTGCTCTGCCTCATTCTTCTGCTCCTCTGGAGCCTAACCCTGGCCAGAAGGTCCACCATCACCCTGTTCTTGGACCAGAGGCACTCTGGGTTGGAGGCTGACTCTCTGCGCTCCCTGAGGCCCAAACACCGGAGGAGGCTGCACACCGGCCTGTCGGGGGTCACTGAGGACTCAGAGTCTCTCACTTGGTCTGAGGACTTGGACCGGCCGCTCATCAACACGGACTTACTGCCACAGGTGCTGGACGTGTTACACAAGAAACACAACATCAAGATTAAAGCTACCTGAGCAGAAAACTGGCTTTAGTTCCAACTTTTAGATCAAATGACATATTTGGTTTATATAAACCTGATTTATTTGAAAGGACTTGAATTTCTGGGAACTTTTTTTTTAATAATCTTCTGGTTGCACTCTCACATTTCACTGTAACTCTCCACCAACGCCCCAAATTTAAAAGGATGGATTTTAAATCTAGTTTTTGAATTTTTGACAGGACCTAAAGAAAGAGTTAAAACACATGATTTTCTTTTAGAACTTGTATTTTTATTATAAGTGTTGACAGTGTGAAGTTTTTCATAGATTAAACATCTCAGCCTGATATTTTACAATTTCAGCATCACATTTGTGGTCTCAGCATCATCATACAATCCTAAAATAAGGATCCACTTTGGGTGGCAGAGCTAGGCACCATAACCCATAAGTCTAACTTGTTGGACTTATTTATATGAATAAAGCTTCTGCTGGACCCCAGCGTAGACTATAAGTAGCTTTTTTAAGTCCTAACAAGTCCCTTACGTTTTGAACCCAGGAGTTAAGGTGGGCTTTCTGTTTCATGTGAATCTTGACAAACTGACAGGCGATTTTTTTAAGGTGTGGCTGTTTGATCTTGTTTGACATGTAACTCAACTAGTCAGGGCCAGACTTTCATGAGACAGAGATCAAGCTCCTGTAATGGTTACAAGTCTGTCCTGTCACAGGGCCACATGGAAACAAACGTGACAACTGACCACTCACACCTACACATAGGGACAAGTCAGTTACCAATCATCCCAACATGCATGTTTTTGTCTGTGGGAGGAAAATGTGTGAATGACAACATACAAACATTTTCTGTGTCTAACTAGAATGATTACAACCGAAATGAATTTTTGATGAATTGTGGTCAAGTTCTGAAAAAAAATCAAACACTTGGTCAAACTTGTGTAAACTCTGTATTTTTCCAGGAGAAGGTACAGTATATACAGTGAATGAATGACTACAAAGCGCTACAATAAGAGCGTTGGATGTGACTCAATAAACATCTTGTTAGCTTTTTTTAGTTGCTATGCTCTAAGTATATCTTTATAAGCAGATTATGGCAGGAGAAAAAAAAACACATAGCATTCACCAAAGATGAAGCAACTGTGCAAATACTGGTTCTGGGGCTGAAAGGCAGACGTTACGGTACGATTACAGGACGATATTGCACATCGAACAGTTGGCTTTAAAGACAAACTATTATTCTCATGTTCATGCATAGATGGGTTTTTCAAAATAAATGGGTGAACAAATAAAATGGAGTAATTAAAGTGAAATGCTGTTGGAATACATTGAAAGAGTTGTAATAACAAGAAGATGATTTCAGAATTTGGCGATAATGTAAAACATGAAGTCATTAAAAAAATATTCAAATAAACGTGTTTCTGTTTAGACAAATTATTAAAAACAAAATGAAAAATCAAACAGTTACAGCTATATAATTATTGGTGTCAGTGCCCTGTTGGTTAAAGTCCACAGTGTTTTCATCGTACAGTTTCACACATTAAGCGGGGTTCTCGCAGTTTAACGCTGTTTGGACCCGACACAAACCCTCGAGGACTCCAATCTCTACTGAGGCACAAACTTCTCCTGCTCAAAGATGAGCTCCACAGCTTCGTCCACGTCCGTCACGATGTGGCCCGGCTCCACCAGCGCCGGGTCGAACCTGAAGTCGCGGTGCCCGTGGAAAACCGTCTCTTTGATGCAGCGGTTCGAGTCGGACGGCACCTCCGCGTTGGGGTCGTACACCCCCGTGCAAACCAGAACAGACTTACAGGAAGTGGCGGAGGGCAGAGCCAGCTCGCTCTCCCTCAGGCTGTCCATGTACTCCTCCCCGCCGGGTACCGCGGCGCTGGACCCGGTGGCGGACGCCACCTTTGCGACGGCTTTCGGGTTCTTTCTGGCATGTCTCTCCTCCAGGAAGCGGTTGTACAGATTGGCTCCGTATACGTCAGTCATGAGGTTGTCTCTAAGGACGGGAAAAGACAGACGATGAATCAGCTGACGTGTGCATCGAGACAGCTCACATAAACTGAAACAAAAACTAAAACAATCTGATTAATCAAAACTGAAGTGAAACATAAAAAAGTATTATCAGCAGTTAAGTTCTCATGTTTTTAGCTGAAACACTGCAGTTTTTGGTAAAAACTGGTCTTACTCATGGAGATACACAGAACAGCTGGAGTGAGTTTTGGTCACATGACCATGTGATCTACTGTAGCAGCGGCTACACTAAACAGACAGAGTGGTTTAGATTAATAATAATTAAATAATAATAATAATAACTTTATTTATAAAGCGTTTTCAAACAAAGTGCTGAACAGTTACAAAAAGATAAAAATCAATACAAAAAAGTTGTAAGAACAAAACATTAAAATAAGATAAAATATTGTACATAATGGCAAAATAGCAATCAATAAGGGTTGATTATGTAAAAACTATTAATGATAATATAAACAAAAATATTATTAATATATTAAAGCATATATTATCTATTTAATGTGTATAAAAATGCCAGAAAGCTGTGTGAGTTATGGACGTACCAACAGAAGAGAAACAGATAAATATCTCATTTCACAAGTAAACAGATTTGATCTTTTTTACCTCAATTTGGATGTGATCTGACCAGAACTGAAGTTAATAACGTAAGTTTAAAATTATAACAAGCTTATTAAGCTGATGTAATTAGGGATGCACGATATATATTGATATCGTATCGGTCCGATATGTAAAACTGCGCCGATATTAACGTCCGATATTGATTTTTGATATTGAGCTTTGTGTTTCTGTTTTGGGAGGGGAGATGGTTGATTGAGTGGCATCTGTTTTAGGAATGCACCAATATGAAAATTTCAGCCAATATCAATATCCGATATAATTATTGCTGTTATGGCTGATAACCGATATTTACCAATATTACACAAACACACAAATCAAACAGCAAATAGATGCTGCTCAACCAACCATCTTGCCTCCCAAAACACAAACACAAAGCGAAAAAGTGGGAAATCAATATCGGATGTTAATATTGGCCCAGTTTTACATATCAGCCGATACTGATATCAATACCGATATATCGTGCATCCCTAATCTATTTGATCATGATAGTGTTAGTGACGCTGCACAGCAGGAATAACTGAAGTAGGGAGCCATATCAGAGGTCTGGTCATTTATTTACAAAACCAAAAAAAAAAGACCCAAGTGTGTTTGTGTGTATATGTACAATATAATTTATGTGTTTGTGTAATATCGGTAAATATCGGTTATCGGCCATAGCAGCAATAATTATATCGGATATCGATATTGGCTGAAATCAGTGCATCCCTAGATTTAATCACAGGTAATTATTGAATAGGTTAGCAGATATTAGCTTCTGTAGCATTTATTGTTATACAGAGTGTAGCACTGCAGAATCATGCTACAATTTAACAAAAATTATTAAACATTATAAGCTGGTTTAGCTCTGATTTATATAATATATACACAGTGTAAAATAATATATATCAGACAAATTTTAAGGTTTCAGTTACACAAACCTATTGAGCAGATGGTTATCCAAAATCAGTAAACAATCATTAGTAATCATTCATAGTATCACCAGGATGAAGTGTATTTTCCAAGTGTTGACTGGTAAATATTGATTATAATTACAGGTAAGAAATAATAAAATGTACTTTATCACTAGTTGAAGTCTTATTTGTTCAATTAGCTCCAAGTTATTGACTGACTTCAGGTCTGGTTCAGATCATTGTTACTTTCATATTTTCCTCATATCATCTACAGTTTTATATTTTTGAATAAAATAAAAAATCAACAAATATTAATTGTAAAATATTATAGATAAACTTGTGACACAGTTGGGCCTGCTGTTAATCAAATATTTGCTTTGTCAACTGTGCTGGATCACCATTTCTGTCCTCCATGTTGTTACAGATGCTAAGAGTAGACGCGACATGCAGGGCTCAGTCTAGTGTTATTTAACTCTATGGTCTCACCCTATAGCGTAAAGAGAAGTGATGGGAAGTTTCCACTGCTTCTGCACAGCCTGGCTTCTGATGAGGCACTCTGCAAAATGGTAGGTCAGCTCACTGGGTTTCCCCATGAGGGCCTCGTACTTCAGATCTCTGCCAGTTATCTTCTTATAGATGTTCTCCAAGCACACGAGAAACGTCCCGTGGCCAAACCTGGACCGAAGCGAGACAGTGGCTCACTGCTTTGCTCACAACAAAGATATTTTTTTTTAATTCTTATTTTGAAACGACTTACCTGGGAGAGTTAGCTTCAGCCATCCACATGAGGTCCATGTTACAGGCCAGGATGGGGAGGTGAGCCGTTGCTTGGGTTTGATGAGGACTACAGAGGTCACCGTTGGTCAACAAAATGTCCACGATCAGCTGCAGGTTAGTCTCCCATCGAATTGGCTCCCCGAACAAAACCACAGCTGTGTGAGAAAGTTTAACCATTACAAGTGATATCTAACCTGTCCATGATGAAGAATCTGAGCCAGAAACAAGAGGACTTTACCCTTACCTTCAACTTTAGGAAGGCTGGGTACAGAGCTGGACTGTAATTGAAAAACAAAATCTTAACGTGTTTTGTTATTATTGTAGTGTCTCAGTGGGCTGTGACTGTGGGCAATACATTATCTCAAAGAAATTTGCAGGGGTTCGTAATTACCCCGTGTGAGTCGCAGAGCCTCTTGTTGGAAATTTTGCGTGAATCAAAATCTGCATGATCAAATTTCCTCTGGGCTCTAGGGGGCGCCAAAGAGCAGCTGTCAAATATGTCTTCAGAGCTTCAAACTACAACAGAACTCATGTGTTTGAAATTTGGTGTTTTCACCTTCCAACCGAACATGGAAACAGGACCAGCAGCGTTTCAAAACCTCACAACTGTCAAAGTGGCAACAGTAGTGACAAACTTGCCTCTTTCTTATTAAATGGTTTTATTTATTTATTTTGGGTCAACTTAAAATTCTTGATGTTGGGTCAGTTAGCTGCTGGGCTGCACTAACATAGAACATGATTTGGCGACCATCTGAACATTCAGTATGATGTTTGCTCATATTACAGCATTGGTTAACATATTATTGTAATTGTTTCCTTTGGTCACACAGCAGCTGTTAAATAAAGAATCTGTGTTAATTTATCTGACTTTACTGCATGTCTGTACCTAAATGCATATTAAAGTATTATTAGTAGTTACAGTAGTAGTAGTAGTAGTAGTAGTAACAGAAGAGTAGCAGTACTATCAGTGGCTATAGTAGTACAGCAGATCCAGTAATAGCAGTACTTAGTACTGCAAGTACTGAAACTACTAGAGCAGCTACTACTACTTCATGCACTGAGTACTAGCAGTAGTAGCAGTACTAGCAGTAGTAGTACTAGTAATAGTAGGTCAGAAATTGGCTCAAGGTTTTTGTTTATGACAAACTGAGTAATCTTTGTGTTAATGTTATAAACACTTAACATAACAATAAATGAATATTAAACACTATAAACGGTGTACTTGATTATTTGCAACATTATGTTCAATCTTAAATGTCTTGGAAACATATTGGGAAAAAACGATGCTATAAGCTAAAATGGAAGGTAGAAAATATGTGTTTAACAATTACAGACCAATATCCTTGTGCCACAGTTTTCAAAAATTTTAGAGAAATTATTTGTAACAAGATTGGACCAATTCATCTACAAACAAAATATTTTAAGTAGTAGTCAATACAGGTTTGGAGCAAATAATTCTACAGCAATGGCTCTCATGGAATTAATTGAGCAAATAACAACCGCTGCTGACCAAAAGCAGTATTGTGCAAGCATTTTTTGTTGATTAAAAAAATCATTTGACACTATTGACCATAGTATTCTTTTCGAAAAGCTGAATCAGCGTGGTATTTGAGGACCGGCATTACAGTGGATATCTAGCTATTTGAAAGATAGGAAACAGTTTGTACAGATAAAAGGAGTAAGATTTGAACTTTGTAACATAAGATGTGGAGTTCCTCAGGGTTCTGTACTTGGACCAATGTTGTTTATAATGTATGTGAATGATTTGGTAAATGTGTCAGTTTTTCAAATGTGTTTTATTTGCAGATGATACTACATTTTTTTGGTTTGTGTAAGTACTGTATATAAAACAGATGTTGGAAATGATGCAAATGGAATGTGTTAAAATACAAACTTGGTTTAGACTTAATAAGTTGTCATTAAATTTAGAGAAAACTAATTATATGGTATTTAGTTATAGAAAGAAATCTATTGATGTTCCATTTAGAGTCAGTGGGGTTAAGATTTGTAAAGTCAGTGAGGTGAAGTTTTTGGGTGGAGTGATTGATGAAAGGCTGACATGGAGACCTCACATAAATTATTTAACAACAAAGATGGCTAAATCTTTTGCTGTTCTGTATAAAGTAAGGAAGTTATTTAATGATAAAGCACAGTATATGTTGTATAATGTAATAAGTCCACACCTGGTTTATTGTATTGAAGTCTGGGGGAAAGCATGTAGGACAATTACAAATCCTGTTCTTTTTATTACAGAAAAGAGCAGTGACAATTATTACTGGAAAACATTGTCATCACCTATCAAATTCATTATTTTGTAAATTGAAAATATTGAAGTTCTTTGATTTGGTTGATTATAATATTCTACTGGTTATGTATAAGGCCCACAAAAACACATTACCTTTAAACATCCAAGTAAATTTTGTTTAGAGAAAGAGTTGTTATAACCTTAAAGGGACAGAGATATTTGTAAAACCCAAATTCAGAACTAGTTTGAAGGAACAGTGTACTTTAATTCAAGGAATAAAACTGTGGAATAATTTGGGGAGATGTAAAAAATGCAGGATCACTGTGTACATTTAAGAAAGTTGGATTGTTGAAGAAATATGAAACAGTATAATGTGTATCTATATATAAATTGTTGTTCTAGAGGAATTAGATGTTCTTGTCTTTTGTTTTGTTTATAACAGTTTTTTTTGTTATATGTACTTATTCTAGGGAAAAAAGGAGCAGATATTTTAAGATTTTTTTCTTCTCTCTGCCGCCTTTCATTTCATTAGTGATTTTCATGTACATATTTTTTTCTCTCATTTTTTTATATTTTTATTTCTATTGTATATAAAATTACTTGTTTTGTTTTAATGAAATTAATAAAGAATTGAATTGGATTGAAAATGACAAAACTTTTCTTCAAAATCAAAAACATCTGATTGTGAGTCTTTCTTGAAAAGTTGCGGGCAAACAGCACAGTTCAAGTAATCGGTGCATTTCATAATATTTAAACAAATAACCTGAACGTATAAATTTATGTACAAAAGTAAACCTTAACTCTGCTCGAGACTTTGCCATTCTAACATCTCTGGGTCCACCACTGATCATTCGAAGCCTTCTCAGCATGCTAATTTTGTGTGATTCCAAGTAAAAACTTGCACATTTCTGTGTCTTCAGCTAGCCCCTGACAGCGGCAGCCCAGTGAGATACTACCACAACACCCTCAGAACGAAGGATTTTGTATAAAACAGGAAACTCTTGAGTGCAGATTTGAATATCTTACTGGCAGCTTGGGTCGTCGGTTGTGGTCCACCATGTCCAACAACGGGTAAGACTCCCTGACCATGTCAATACTGACAACATTCTGAAACCCCACACTGAAGACAAGAGGATGGTCAAGGAATGAGATGAAATGCTAGTGTTTAGATGATAAAAAAGACAATAAAGTGCAATGAAAGGACAGTTTCTTGGATACTCTTTAGCAATCTCCAACACCGGCCCCTGCCCCGACACCAGGACACACTTGTCGTGGAACCTTTTAAACATCCTCAGGGGACTGTGGGACATGATGACTTGGTCCTCTGTCACCTTAAAGTCCAACAAAAATGAAGAGGTTACCAGAAAGCAATTACAAAAAAAGGCCATAGGGTCAGTTTTATTTCATCTCCATCGTCATAACTCACAGGCACTCCCAGGACGTGTGAGAGCTGGTCTGCTTTAGTGTGTCGTTGGCAGTTCCCTGCGTTTGTGACAAAAACAACAGGCACCACAAACTGTCCCCGAGAGTCGACCAGCTTCTCGAAGGCCCTTTTCGCCGCAGGGATTGGCATCCGTCCTCTGACGAGCACCCCATCGATGTCGAACAATAAACCGAATCTTGGCTGTGGCTGCAGAGGAGCAGGAAAAAAAAAAGAAAAGCTAAGAATTAAATGGGTACACGGTGTTCAAGACTCATAAAACACACACACACAAACACAGTACTGATGGAAACATGGACAAGAGAATAAAACATGTATAAATAATTGAAAAGATGTACAAAATTTAAAAAAAGGAACTTGTGGCTTATTGAATTTTGATTATGTGTGCAGATAAAAATGTATCTGTTTACCCACTATAATGGAGACATTTTTAATTCTATGAATTGATACTATGTAATAGTTTATGTTGGGTTTAATAACATTTTATTGACATTTCAGGCTGTTTAATGATGTGCAGCTGTACATGATGAGAGATCATTTTAAATCTACCTAAACAAGTCTGAGTATTTGATTCTTTGTGTTTTTTCTTCTGATGTAGGTTTAAATGCAAACAACGCATCACCACAGCACACAAATGACTGTTATTTCCTTCAGGAAGGAAAAGAGTCAGCTACATCGGCTGCTGTTTCGACCAGGCAGCGCCCGCATCCACAACGGACACAAAGTTCGATGAAACACCGCTCCACTCGACAAACACCGTGACAAAACCATATAAAACTACAAACAAGAAAAAGAACAAAAAAGAAACAAAAAGAAACACGGTTTTGTCAGCGGCGTGTTGTTTGTCTGAGCCAAGGTGGCAGCAACAGCTCGAACCGTACCTTGTTAACAGACTGAGTTCCGCAAAGCCCGCACCGACAACCAACAATCCCAGCTTTTCGCCTGGCTGGACGGTTGCTCAGGGTGCGCAGGCCCCGGAAAGCCGTCAGGAGTCCCCGCATCTCCTTTGCTTTATCAAGGGAGAGAGGGACGGGGGCTGTGGGGTGGGGGTTCAAAAAGAAAGAACGACAGAAAAAAATATATAAATAAATTAACGCAACCCCAACATGAAGATGGAGCCGGCTCACACCGGCCGCTGTTGCTGCTGCTAGCCTCGGCTGTTTCAGATATATTATTTTTGCTGCACTGTGATTGGACAGGTGTTGTGACGTCACAGACGGAGGCGGAATGGGAGAGTCGCAGCGCTACATCTGCACCACAACCCCCGCTGCCATTTTAGACACCGAGGTGGAGCTAGATATCTCACTGCCGTCCCCCGATTCGGTCTGGGGTCAGTGGGAACATTTGCGTCAAGAACCATTGATTTCTCCTTTTTGGACAAAAATGACACGTCCGCCTGTCTGTCCTGAGGCAGCAGTGTTTAGTAAATGAGACGCACCAGCTTCTCTGATCAAACAAGTGTTTTTGCACAAACAGCAGATGGGTGCGGGTTAGAACAAATCTGAGCAGATTTCTGTGATGTAATCTTAAGATTTAAAGGAAAACCCACAAAAATAGGATTGGAAAAAAGTGATCATGTTTGCTTTTCATGCTTTGAAACATTTTGCTACCATGAACAATGCTGAGAACTTATTCATTTTGCATTTCTGTAAAAAAAATAATTCCTAGACTTGAATTTCGATGTTATTTTAATGTCCTAAATGCCTAAATTGATGCAATTTATAAAACTCACGTCTAGAACTCTAACCTGGGTCAAATTTACAATCATTAACCATGTCCAGATTTTCAATTTTAATAAAATAAAAAGCAAATCATTTTCTAGAAGTTCACATACTTTTAGAAATTGCAATAAAATATAGAAAAACAATCAGATCTGCACGTGAATTCATTTTTTGCAAACACTAAAAAAATGGCATGTTGCAAAGCGAAATCAAAACAAAAACACTTGTCCCCGTGCTCCTCCAGCTTTATTGATAGTTTAAAATTACATTTCTATTTTCTAGGACTTCAGTTGCGCTTTCCTTCCGACTTAAAAACTGAGTACAAGCAAATGGTATTTATACAGTAGTCTAAGTGATATTGTACAAAAATAATATTTTTGATTTCTGTGAAAACATTTGTCGTTCCCAAATAACTCCTAATTCTGCTGTTCTTTCAACTGCTCTTAACGTCTTTTTTTTTCTTTTTTCGCCAAGGTAAAAACAAGAAGGGAAAAAAAGGAATAAATTCGAAAGCCATTTCTAAAAAGGAGAAACAAAAAAGAAGTCTACCTTGGACTAACAAGTGATATTTAAATTGTAAACAGATTTCTATAAAAGAGCATGTTTCTTTTTAATACCTCCAAAATTTTCATATCTTAGTAATATAGTTGTCGCCCACTTGTAGCTGCTTGAAGGGCAGAAATGCATCATGTTATGAACTGTTTCCATATCGTACTCTCTTGGCCAACTCATATTCCACTAAAACAAACCAAAATAACCACACATGGATGTTTGGTTTCCATTTGCACCCTTCTTCCGTCTCATTTTACTGAGAGGCATGTCCACATAGCTCAGAGGTCCTCTAGATTCCCGTTATGTTTAGTCCCATTTTTTTTTCCTTGCTGATCACCGGTGGCCTGGAAAGGGGAGGTTCTTAAACAAAGCATTATACATAACACCGCTACCAAACTAAAACTTTTTTTTTTGTATTGAATGCAGAAAGATTTTTTTTCACCCCTTTCATTTGTATTACATGACGAGAGGCTCACAGGCCTGGGACTAGCCTCTGTTAGCCAACCTTTGGCCAGTGAAGAGGATTCAGAGAAAATAATACAACCAACCATCAATCTGAAAAAAAAGGAGGGGCAACAGAGGGTGCTGATTATGCGGTGGCTTCGATGGTGCACTCTTTCGCCAAGTGGCCCGCCTTTCCACAGTTGTAGCAGTTAGTCTCACTGGCTTTACTGCAATGCACGGCAACATGGCCGATCTCGCCACACCTGGAGGGGGGACGCACAAAGTCGCACCGTGACCAACACAGAAGAACGTAACGTTTGAAGCAAAAATGCCACACAGCTGGAAATGTTGCAGATTTTGGAGCTCAAAAACAAAACCTCACCTGTAACATTTGACCTTATCGCAAAGCTTCTGGATGTGGCCAAACCCACCGCAGGAGTAGCACTTCTGCTCGTTGGCATGATCGCAGTCGCGGGCCATGTGGCCGGCCTTGCCGCAGGTGTAGCAGAGCTGCTCCCTCTCCTTCCTGGGCTCCTTGCAGTCCCGGGAAATGTGACCACTCCTGTGGCAGTTGTAGCACGCTTAACACACACAAAGCAAAAAGAAAGCCTTTTGAATGCTCTTAACGTTTGTGAAAAAAAAAAACAACAAAAAAACAGATGGGTTAGGTAAGTAACTAAAACTGAATTTCAAACAGATGAACAATGCTCACCATCCTCGGTTTGGTCACAGTCCCTGGCCATGTGACCCTGGTCTCCACACCGATAACAGAACAGTTCTGAAAAGACAGGATGCACAATATTTTTAAGATTTACTCGGCCTCTTACATTATGACATTAGAGACCACAGGTTAGCAGCAAATAACATGTTTTTAAAAGACACAAGCTGCACTTTATGGTAATTAATCTACTCAGAACACAAGCAGAAAAAAAAATACAGTACCCTTTCCTCGTCCCCGGCCCCTGCCACGTCCACGCGACCCGCTGGCATTGGGACAATGCTTGACCCAGTGTCCAGACCGGCCACATCCAAAGCACTCGCTGTTGCTGCTCATCTCCATGACTTTAACAAAAACACTGCACAGAAGATAAACATTATTTTACACACTTTTACACTCATGTCACAGTTGAGTATGTTATGCAGATAATATCCACAAACAGCAGATACGAGAGGACTGCATTTAGATTTAACAGCTTAAAACGAGACAGAGACAACTTTTTATAAACATGGCAAGTTTGCAGTTAATGTCATGTTTTTCCTTGTTACCCAATGCACCCTTTTACACTTAAAAGTCTGTCTATATTGTTCATTGAAATATGCGACAATATTGTAGAGGCCAGGTTGTTCGAGACCCGAGTAATGGAGGGAGGATGCATTTACACATCAAACAAAAGGGGATCTACTTTACAATACGCGGAGTAATTTAAAGTTTGCAGTACTTCTATCAGCCAACTTATAGAACTTTATCAGTCTGTGAGGAGTCAAACTTCTGCTTGCTGGACAAATTAGGCCAACAGGAATGGATAAGTTCAAAAAATACGCTCCCATCCATGCATTGAGAGGTCGTAAAATAACTTAAGAAAACGGGGCATCTAAAAATAAACTCTAAAAACAGCGACACCTCACAGCCTTTAAAATAGTCGCTTGGAGAAAGCCAGGACTCAACTTTCAGCTCGGGTAACCCGACACTTTCACTGCGAGCTTTTAGCTTTCCTCAAACAGCCACGTGAGGAACTAAAAATGTGAAGTCAAACCACTCAGTCCAGGTACAGCATGTTCACCTACACGCCACAGAATATAAGGACGAGCATGGGAGCATGCCGTGTGGTCTGAAAGCGCGTCGCATCGTGTTGTTATTTACCGTCTGAAGCCGAGACAAAAGTCGAAGCTTTAGCAACAATGTTAGCTCAACTCGCTAAACTACCTCAACAGCTCGTGTGCATCAAGTACGCGAGCCGGGATTTCCAAGTCTTAACAGTTTGAGAGTCTTCGACAAAAGGAAAGAAACCAAATGAAATGCCAAAGGTTGAAGCTCCGCTAACGTCGGCCTAGTCACGTTGAGTTTGCTGCGCACTCGCGAGACACACTGGCGCTAGCAAGTGAAGCTATAGCTAACAGCGGCTAGCTGAGCGCCTCACGACCAAAGAAACGCGCTTCAGTCGACGATCGATCCTCGTTCTCCAGGAGGAACGCGTCGGCCAGGCACCGGCGGCGATAAATACCTGCAATAGATGCATCTTCACGGGTACCCAGCTGAATATACGCCAAAAACAAAATTTCCCGCCAGGGCGCACACGCCGGAGTGACAAGCTAACGTTAGCAGGCCGGACCTGGAACCCGATGCTGGGTTAGCGATAGCAAACAAAATCAAAACCACGCGTCTTCGCAAGAGGCGTGTTCAGACTTTTAGCTTTCCGCTATTGTTACTTTACACACGTAACAGTCACAAAATGCACAGCTACAGAACGTATATTTATTAAATAAATTTAATGTCGTCTTATTGCTTACCTTTATGGCTACCTAGCTATGTCAGTGTTTACGCCTCCTTCTTTGCGCTACATGCGGTGCCAGCAGGAGTTCCTGAATTGTCATTCGCATTAACCAGTAAAAACCTGCATAGTCATTGGCCATAGACTCTGCGAGCAGCCAATAAAAAGCGACGATGTCTGGACACCGCCTCTGGGAATTGGCCAATAGATGAGGAACGGTTCCCCTTTTTCTCCTTAATCGGTTTGTTTGACTTTATTTTCCAAAACCTGAAAGTTTAAAGTGAGAAGCATTGATTCGCAAAGAACACGGCTACAAAGGAGATGTGGGACTACTAAAAAGAGAGGTAAAGTCATGACAAACTACACGGTAAGAGAAGTAATAGTCGTAGGAAAAAATAGTTGTTTTAAAGTTAAGGTCGGCACCCCGCTGTGGGTCGTAAAACACTAGATGTGAGGTCTACAGAAATCAAATTAAATTTGTGACTGCAGATAGCACATTTCACTCACAAATGTCACATCAAATTAAAACAAATCTAAAAGACTTGTGACTTGAATATGACCTGTTACTATTATTTTTGGGTTGGAAGCAAAAAAAGTTTGGGCTGCATCAATGCATTTTGTACAAAGTAAAACTTAATGCGGCCTCTGTTGTGAGTTAGCTTCAATAAAATCACTTTAGACACCATTGCATATTTATATTGCACACATGCTTCTGCGAGGAACATAAAACAACTGATTTAAATGCTGAAGTTCTGTTTTGATAGCCCGAACTATTTCATTTTACAGCCACAAGTTCTGGAAAAGTTGGGCTTTGGGTTTTTATATATATAATATAATATAATATAATGTATGAAAATACAAATTTCTTAAAACTCATATTTTATTCACAGTGTGGAACCAGGAAGTGTAGTCTTTGCTGCGTGGAGATTTAATAGGGATCCTAATAACATATAAGTTTTATCAACTGTTAAAACTAAAAATATTGTACATTTGAATAATAAAATTAAAGTTAATTTGAATTTTATGACAGCCACAAATCTCATTGAATGGGTGCAGCAAAAGGAATTTGTACCTGTAACAAACAGCTGAAAGAGCCTTTTCCTGCTAATTAGGTTAATTGGCAGCAGGCCACTATAAACAGCATTTTAGAGAGGCTGAACCTCTCAGAAGTAAAGATGGGCAGAGGTCCACCAGTCTGAGAAAAAAAGGCTAGCAATAGTGGAACAGCTAATGTTCCTCAGTGGAAATTGACTTTGACTATCTCATTATCTAATCTGGAGAAATCTCTGAAATGAAAGGAAAAGATCAAAGGTCGTTACCGATGTCTGTGATCTTTGGACCCTCAGGGGCCCACAGCCTTAAAAAGAGGACTGATTATTTTCTGGACATCACTGCATGAGCTCAGTATTTCCACAAATCACCGACAATGACTGCCCCTGCTGGTTAAAGCTCTATCAGGCAGAAAAGAAGCCACTCTATCAGCACGGCTTTAAAGGGGAAGCGTTCAGATGCTGAACCGACCCAGCTGCAGTCCAGACTTCTCACTAACTGTAAAACCTTTGTTGCATCATGAAACAAAACAAATCCAACAAAGACCCAGAACTGGAGGTAGAACCCTGCACCAGACAAGAGACGATGTTCTCCACCAGCTCCAACAACTGGTCTCCTCATATCCTAGATGTGCTAAAAAAAGAAGGGATGCTTCCAAGGGGGTAAAATGACCATGTTCATACTTTTTTGCATGTTTAATGCCATAAAATTCAATTTTTTTCTTTTTTATTTAATCAAATAGTTGCACAGTTTCTTAGTTTAAACATTTAAAATGTTTTCCATGTTCTGTTGTGAATAAAATATGAATTTTAGACATTTAGCAAATCACTCTTATAGGTTTATTTACAATGCATGTCCCCACTTTTTGAGATTAGATTTGTGATATAGTGTTTAGATTGTTTATTGTAACTGGATATCTGTCACAGTTTAACCAGACAGGTCCAGTTGTACGTTATATATTTAAATGCACACATGCATTTCATTACGTCTACTGTGTGGAAACACTTAAAATGCTTTTTGAAGGTTCAACTAAAAGCTACAAAGATTCGTGACGGATATAATTTTTTACTTTTAGTCACATGATCAAAATCACTGATAATGATGGGATGAATTTTAATGGACAAAACATACAAATAATTACTACGAGAATGTCACATAATTATTTTACCATTTCTGCGTTTTATAATAAATAATCCATCAGCTTCAGCTGCTGGGTTTGTGAAACTTTAAAGTCTAAAACCTAAAATTAGTGGAGCTATTTCAGAAAACCTTCGTGATCAGGATGTTTTGTTGTGTTGCTGTTCTTTAAGAAGTCCTGACTGAACACGGGAGGAGACGGGTCCTGGGAGCCTCTCAGCAGCCTCAGAGCTCAGATCAATAGGTGGAAGAGATGCTGTCATCACTCTTAAGGTGGCCTTGGCTCTAACGTTTTGGGATTGCGTTTCCTCGTTTCTCAGGCTTTCATTTACTCACTTGCACACTTTACATCAAAACCAGCTAAAATATTTATATAACTGTCTCATACGTTCTGCATGGATCACAGCATGTTCTGAGTGAAAACACAGTATCTGAGTAGCCTGTGGAGCGGAGTACCTTAAAATGCTCCATAATGACAAAGCCCTGCCCTCATCTTCACAGAAACAGTATTTAGTGTTTCTGTCACTTCTTGTCAGGATATTTGTCCGATTTTTAGGAAAAAAAGTAGACACTTTACGGATACAGAGACTAAATATACAATTTATTAAAAAGGCTGCAAGAAGGCACAGGTTTGTGTTTCCATCTGTCGCTAAAAATTGTCTGATGCTGCTTTATGGAAACATTATATGCTTCTGAAACCATCAGGACACGCACACACCAACACACACACACACACAGGGATGTTAATAAGTTTGTTTCAGTCCTAGATGGTAAGATGTCCAGCCGGTTAACGGGAGCTTTGGAGCCATGATTGGGATTTGGGTTCCTCAGGGGACCCAGACCGGACGTGACCACATGGTGAGTGTAGATGGTTCTGGTTTTATGATGATTCTGTGTCTGGTTCAGTTCAGGAAAAAGAGGTATGGTTTTATTTGTATAAATTGTTTTTGCTTTAGGTGAAAAAGCAAAATCTTTTAAAAATGCATTTCTGTCCACCAAGCAGTTAAAAAAATAAAATAAATAAAAATACATTTTAAGCTAATGTAAGCTGCATGCCATGCTACTAATATATTTTTATTAGTTTTAGAAAATGTGAAAAATATAGCATAAACAGCAGAAAAACATTTACCGGTAGTACATTTTTTATTCGTGCTGCAGTACCTTCGTTTTGACAGCAGATGGCGCAAGGGGATAACATAATTTACCCTAACGCTGTAAATCTGCTAATTTACAAACAAAACGTATAAAGTCTAGTTTTAAAACTCATGCTTGTTTAAATTAATAACTTTTAGTTTAATATATCAGAGCTCACGATGGTTTATGTTTCAAATGCGACATTGTGTAATTTAATGTGTGTTTAAATATGTATATGTAGTAAACATGATCATAGTAACATGTTTAAAAAAAACCTTCCGCATATTTTTATGGGATAAAAAAAAGTAAAAGTGTGGTTTAAGTGGGAGGGTTCAGGTTGGCGCAGTGATGCTCGCAGGTCTTGTTATGACTGCGAGGTCCTGTTTCATTCAGTGGCGTCAGACGGACGGAACCGAGCCGACCCGCTTCACCTCCTCTCCTGAACCACGTAAATATTGATCGCGGACGACTTTTTTTTTTCCGTGCTTCGAAAGTGCTTTGTTGGACTTTTGGAGGAGTTGGAGAGGAGGGGAAGAAAGAAGAAAAATCCCTCTTCGTGTCACTTTGACGAACCACAGATTTGTTTTCCTTCCTTGAGTTTTTTTTTTTTTTCCCGTCCGGACCGGGTGAATTAAAACTTTTCCTTGTTGTTTCCAGGTGTTCGGTAAAACAGACCCTCCTGCGACCTTCAGGTCTCACTTTAAAGCAACCTTGGGTCGGGACTATTTGAACCAAGTCGGAGGTCTTTTGCTCAGCTCGGGACTCGTTTTTTCCTCTTTTCTTTGAATGCGTTGCAGCTCGGGATGACGTCACCGACGCCACTTTGCCCCAAAGTTATGGCGGAGCGCAACTTTTTACCTTCTCTCGGTGAGCTTATATGCACACAAGCTGCCGCTCGTAGCGCATGATCTGCTTTGAATTAAGCTAGAAAAGCTAACCTTGGTGGTCGCGCCGGTTCTGTGGGAGACTCGCGGTAAGAGTAAGGAAAACTGAGCGGAACAGAAAAGAAGCGTGAAGTTTACCGTCACACAGCTCGCTTATGGGCCTTGAGGCGGTCTGCTGTAACCAGAACTACCGGGCTGTAAAAACAGGAGCAGCCTGTGAAGTTTCTGCATGCTGTTGTCTTTTCTTGTTCTCTCTAAATGCTGAGACACAGATCTTGCTAACCTAATGACATTGTTCTACAATTTAGGGTTTAAGGAGACTCTTCAGACTGAGCATGGTGAAATTAGCTGTTGTTTTTTTTAAAGTAGCAACTATTTAACATGTGCTGTTGCTCTCTGCACTTGTTTTGAACACACTGGACAGCAGCATGGTGTGGAAAGATGGTAGACCCACAATTCTCCAGCTTATTCTGACCACTAACTGCAGTAAAAATACATATTTATGTTCTCAGAGTCAGCAGGGCTTTATATAGAACACAAATGAGAAGCAAGAATGCTAAGAATAAACAAAAACCTCTGTGTGTGTGTGTATATATACAATATAAAGCTGCAGTTTGTATTTGAAACAAAGCAGGTGTATTTGCTGGCCTAGCTTTTTGTGTGTGTTTGTTTCAGGAAGCACATATTGTTTTAGATTTATCTGCTGAATTCAGCTCATTATTGTCCTGCACTTGTTTTTATTTCTCTGCACGCTTCACGGGTTTTAGTTGTCGATGACGTTAAAGTCTTTGCCAAAATCAGAGTTTGAAAATAACATTTCAGCACTTTCCTAAAATAAATGCCCAAGTTTTTTTTATTTAGTTGTTGCAGCTTGAAGACATCAGTCGACGAATGGAGTAGTTTTTATCCAAACATTTATTTTCTTTTAGCTCCACACAGAATATAAACTGGCTCCACACACTCACGGTGCTTCTGCTGCGGTCAGAGTCCGGGTGAAAAGTAACGTTCAAGAGACGCCCGTTTCAGAACCTTTCCACATGGTGCATTC